ATCAATAGAATGGAGAGCTTCTAGTTTCCACGTCTGGACCAGGTTGCGGGAAAACCATGGCAATTGTGTAAAGAGAGAAATCTTACTGCCCTCGCGTCAAATATAAAATCTAGGAGTAATGCTGGTACAGATAAGCTTTTGCGTCAGTGGGACGTGGAAACAGTGGGAGCTGCACCTGTCGTCGTCCTTATTGTGGTTAAAGTATTCGGTATTTCTGAAATTACACTTCTAGAAGTAACGCAACGATCTGATGGAGGGACCCAGGGCGCCGCTCCCACTAATTCGGAAGCTTACCCTGATTATCGTCACTGGAAAGCTGTCATTCCAATCAACATCGATAATCCATCATGTATTGTGGGCTTAGATTACGGTAGGACCTATGTCGGGAAGAAATACATGTCTGGGTTCCTACCTTACAGGTGATAAGAGATCAAGATATAATTGTTTGCGCTATCAGTCTTTTACCCAAAATGTTACTAACGATGCAGACATAAGATGGTTTTTGAAGGGCATTTACAGGCTGAGGCCATTTCAACTGAAATACAGATACTGTGGTTGTTCTCAACCAACCAAAGGGGTTGCCGGTAAGCTCTGTAGATATTTGGATGAGGAAATCAGCAACACTGCTAGCTCTAACCTCAGGTCAGAGTGTGCAAACTAATTGAAATAGACAACATCCAGATTGGGTTGAATTATACTGAAATTGTGATTTCCCAGTTTTTGAAAGTCTCGGGGTCACTCATGTGGCAACCACTTACGTTTTACCACATTTTACGCCCAAATATCTGTCCAAAGCATTTATTTGTCACTGTACCGTAACTTTATCATGGTGCCTCGGCTTCCAGATAAATGAACTCGGTTTTAGCAGAGAGTGTCACAATTGACAACCCACAGTACATGAAATGCGTCTACCTCTCCGCCTGCTAAATGATAGTAGTCTCAGGCTCGCGGCGGGCTGGAGTGCGTTTTCTGAGATACATCACAAATCTCTTACGCCAAACAATAGCTTTGATAAAGCGGCATTTGAGGTGAACCAAGTCTCTACACCTTAAACATAATCATTACGTTATTTGCTCATTACCATGAAATGGATGGTAATTTTTGAACCAGGTACGTCATATTACCTGTTGCTAAAAGCCCTAACTTGAGATGTTACATTGGAAATGTACATTTAGTTGACACATACATTGCGTACAATTTGTGTGTACAACCTATGGTTTACTATTGCAGAGCGTTAGTAGTATGCTGTTGCAACTAGCTTTGAACATCTACAATATGTATTTTAAATATTTACTCCGACGAGGACGGAACATAATTACATGATCAAACGAACTTACCTGCAAGTGATGTTCGATCTTAATTATGTGAAGTCCTCGTCGAAGTAAATAGCTCCGTCGTACCCTATGTATCACCCAATTGTTGCAACAACTTGGGTTTGAAGTAAATGAAGATTTATAGGCGGCCAGAGGGGAGAAAGGTAGGGCGAAGGGGCGCGGTGCCGCTTTCCTTCTCTGCGTGCGCGCTTTGAAATCGTGGCGGTTGGGTACTACTACGAGGGTACTACGATATGTATCCTAAATATTTACTTCGACGAGGACTTCACATAATTAAGATCGGACATCACTTACAGGTAATTTCGTTTGATCATATAATTATAAAGAGTTTATATTATATTCGTAGTAGTAGATGGTCGAACAATCAATCATAATTAATGATCTCAAAATAATAAAATTATAATAAAATTTTAGTTATTAACAGAATAATTCAATTCAGAGTAAAAAGCGTGTGGTGCTTGATATATTAAATGTTACAATCATTCTATTGGCAACTATCTATGAGAGGAGAGTTTTGGAAATGTAGTAAAATGCACCCCACGCTTTTTAGTCTGAATTGAATTATTCTGTTAATAACGTAAGTTTGATTATAATTTTATTTTGAGGTCATTAATTATGACTGAATGGCGGTGTACTTAAAAAAACATGCACAATCGGATGAGGACATTTACGATTTTTCTGGTTGGAAATGATCCCAGCTATAAACCCCTTCCGTTTAATCCATCGCTTTTGGGACACCCTTGTAAAAAACAGTATAGTAAGCTTGAAAATGTAATTTATCTAAGCTAATAAAAAACTGTGTATCCCAACTACTGCAATTGCTGTTAAAAAACAATCATAGTAAATTTTTTATCGCTATTATAAAGCAAAGACAGCGATACAATGTTCGCGTATAAGTCTTAAGACAATGATATGAGTTGGCGATAAGATTCCTTGCGTTCTTTCGTGGAAAAATTCGCGTCCATATCTGTTTTATAGGTATAGTAAAGTTTACACAAAGCAAATATTTACGCCCCGCAGCTTGCAGGACATAAGATATCCTTGCGGATAAAAAATAGTGAACGAGACTCTCGAAACTGATAGGGTTTTCTTTTATTAAAGCAAAAAATGGTTGTCTGTTGTCTTTATGCTTCAAAAAGTTTATAAGATTTTTTGTGTACCATGAAAAATAAATTTTAGTCGCTTATCGAATAAACACTAAAATACTAGTGAGAGTTTGGGCGAAAAAGGTGATTACGATTTAACTGCTTGACATTATATGCTTCGGGATAGTTAGGTTTTGTTATTGGAATCCTCTAGGCAAAAATTCGCGGTCAATATCAGGAAGCAGGAAGTGGTGTTGTTTATACAGTGTTTATTAAAGTTGTCAATGATGTCGGTCGTTGATCAGAAGACGTACAAAAGCGCAAGGAGCCAATATTCTGGGAGGCCAGAGAACAGAGGGTAATGACGCGAGCCTCACCAAATGACTAAATGAGTTTGCATCATAATTATACTACGTAAACTAGGATATTCCCATTTCGCGACCACCTATGAGTAGTTTGGCAAAGCTTAACAAATCCCGACTCATACGTTGCCGTCTGCAGTACAGGAGCCTCTACGCCTTCCGAAATATATGAAAGACCCCCAATCAACGGAAAAACGTCGTCTAACCAACATAGGCGACTTGTCAGTCAGGGAACAAGTGTTCACCGTGATAGCAGCTATTACGCATAATGCTTCAGTTACATAAACTTGTTTAGCATCGAGGCATCTGGTACCGCTGGTGTGGATACCGGGGTACGTTGGGATAAATGGTGGTGATACGACGGGTGCTCTCGCGAGAGAACCCTATGGATGCCAACGCAAAGAGTCAGGAGTATAACGGAGATATGGATATCTAGACAACACTCTCTGAAATAGAGGATTATCCCCAAACATCTCTGTCAGACACTGGGGCTCATCTTAGAGCCTAGTGCTGAGGATGGACGCTTTTGCGTATCTTTGGATAGAGCCAAACTTAGGTTATCGTTGGGACTGTTGTCTGGACATAACTTCATGAGGCGTCACCTGCATGTGATGGGTGGCGGAGGATCCCATGTGTGAGCACTACGGGGTAGAGGAGGAGTCCTCAGCGCATGTTCTGTGCTGTTGCGAGGCTCTGAGTTACTGCAGGTAGACTATACTGGCGTGCAATACCTTGGATCCACACAATGCTAAAGAGCTGGAACTGAGACCCATCCTCCACTTCGCTAGAAGGGCGGAGCTTGAGGCTTAGGAAATGTGCATATGGGCCCGCCATGTGGCCTATGCGCAGGCTCCTCGTGGTGGCCGGTGTGCCTCCAATTTCATTTATTCATTCATACACAAACTAACCACAGACTAAATAGGATCTGGTGGTTGTCCGTCTCTGTGACATGACCAACCGTATATGCACATTTCGTGCTTTTCATCATTCATCAGTACGGTATAGGTTTTGTATTGAAGACAGATAACGGAAAGCAAACAAGCGATTGGCGAGTCGCATATGGTGATTAGAGGATATTTTTCGTTCATCCAGCGGATTATCTTTCAGAGGTTCTGGGAAGCATACTCATAGGTGGTAGTGTGATATACTCGCTGACTGAAGTTCTGAGTTTTTCAGTAGACCATATCCGATTGTTTCTAATTCCTGAATCTTAATAGAAAACAATATACAGGGTGCTAGGGACATAATATTCGTAACTTCAAGAGGTGATTCCTTGCATTATTCTGAGCAAAAAAGTTCATTATAACCTATGTCCGAAAATCAACCGTTTCGGAGCAAAAAAATATTTCTTCTTAGTCATGAAATAAATTAATTTTGCACATTAATAATTGAAATTCATATGCCTAATAGCGTAAAATGTATCAATACATCTATTTGTTAATTAACTTTCTCTAAAAAAATAATTTTTTTGCTTATTAAATACAATTTTCCGAAGAAAAACTGACAAACAAAATCCCTCACACAACTGGCAACGTTGTACTCCGCCTGCACTGCATGTATCATCGTGTGTTGTTGTGATTACTAATACATTTAGCTGTAACTTTATGTGATATACGGATGTTGTTTTTTTTTTCGTTTTGCATCGCATCGTTTCAAATAAGTGACTGATAATCGTGAGAATTGGTGGTGTGTATCGCCACGTACCGCTAAGTTCTGTCATTTTTTTATGTAAATGTACTGTACTGAAAGCGTTATTAAATAAAAAATATTATTCACATAATTGCGTAAGAGTATCCAATAATTCAAGGCATATTTTCAACAAAAATATTATACAAACGTAAACAATTCGATGAATCAGTTGCGGTCGTATCGCGGTTGCGTTGCAGCATTGCCAAATGTTTGAGAAAATTTAATTATTTACAACTCACTTTCCTCGAAAACGATTGATTTTCGGACATAAGTTATAATTAACTTTTTTGCATAGAATAATGCAAGGAATCACCTCTTAAAGTTACGAATATTATTTCCCTAACACCCTGTATTGCAGAAAATGTAAGATATTTGTGATATAGCCTTTAGTTAAAAGAACGTATATTTTATCTTGAGCGATGTCGAAGGGGTGGGGGAGGGGAGCATTGGGCACATGGCTCTAATGCCCAAATAGACACTTTTATGCTACATTTTCCTATCTTATGGCTCCCATTCTAACAATTTTCCAGCAATTCGACCGAGTAGCGGCCGAGCCAGTGTCTCATCCTCTGTCGGAGTCCCGCAGTGGCTGGCAGAAGATCGACGTCACAGAGACGGTGCGTTCCTGGCTGCAGGGAAATAGCGGCGGGGGTCCAGGGAACACCCAAGGGGGTCCCACTCGTAGGGACAGACTTAGGCTGTTCGTTGACTGCAGCTGCTGCTCCAACTGGCATATCCATCTGTTCAACGATCGGAGCAATGGGGGAGATAGGAATAGGATAGATAACCCTAACAGGTATATAAGCTAGATAATTTACAAATGACAACCGAAATATGCGTTTGCGTACTTTTGTCAGGACATCAACAGGGCGTTCTAGATGCTGGGTCTTTCCACTTAAGTAACATGCGGCGCGGGATGGAAATGTCCAAAGAACGATCCAAGTACACTCGCAAAGTATCACAGCTAAACCATAACTATCTAAAACTGTAATGACTCCTCAATGTTCACGTGAACATCACTTAACCGCCGGTACTCGGGTTGTCAGTGGCTTGGTATGAATTTTTAATGTGGGTGATCTTGATGTTTAATTAAAAAGGAAATGGTCTGAAAGACGTTATACACGTAGATCAGAAATCTGGAGATGAGCTAATTGAGTCTACCTCTCTTCTTTCGTCGTCGCTTCCACTTCCATATGAAAGTAATAAGCTGTCACTATCGCTTTCTTCGCCAAGATTGGCTATAACTGGCTCCATCGTGGTGTCGATATTGTGGTCAAGCTGCCACATTTTCGTTTCTTCCTTCACAATATGACTAGCTGTATGGAATTCTCTAGCAAAGCCTTGATGTCTAGTAATTTAAAAATTGTGTTATGGCACGCAATATAACTTGAGCCCAGATGAGCTCTACTGGGTTCAGTTCACAATGGTAGGGCACAGTGTCACCATAATGACGGACTATCTCATCAATCACGTAACTAACGTTCGCAGGTTTGTGATGTTTAATTGTTTCGTACAGTTCCGCTTTCACACATGAGTCGTCAAACGGAATGCCTTTTTCACGCATCTCACTTTTTCGAGACCCCATATTTGGTACACGTTCGGCTCGACGACTGTGGTAGGAAGCGTTATCCATGACGATGACAGAGTTGGATTCAACTCGCTGGAGCACCCCTTGAAACCAGCTCTCGAAGCAGCTGACATTCATTTCGTCATGGTAATCACCTCCTTTCTTAGAGACGAATGTCAAGTTGCATCCTCCTAAAAAGCCACTATCGCTGCCAACATGTGCAACGATCAATCTATGACCTTTCCCTGACGATGCACGAAAACCTGTTGACAAACCTTCAGCGCTTGCTTGTTGGTTACTTAGTACATTTTTGCCTATCCAGGTTTTTTTAACTGTATGACCTGCATTTACCCACGTCTCGTCCAAATAATATATTTTCTTGCTCAGTCGCCTATATTCAGTTATTGCGCGTAAGTATTTTCGACGCCACGCTACAATTTCAGGTTTCTCTATCAATCCTAACTTCCGATTGCGCGTTTCATAACGAAAGTTAAGTTCGTGCTGGCTTTTCCTTAATACTTCGACGCTCACGGGGGTACAATGACATTACTCTTGATCTATGCATGTATAGCCTCTACGGTTGGTGTCTCATTCCTAATAAAGAATGAATGTAGGGTTGATTCAACGCCATTCTGCTGATGAAATTTAGTTTTACTTTGGATCAGCAGTCGCTCCAGTTTTCTTCTGTTCATACACCACCTTGCGAACAGTCCATTCTGGGACGCCTGTCATACTTTCGCAACGCGTAAGCTGTGTATCTCCCTGTGACATAGTCTTGTTCAAATAATTGAACACGTTGAGCACGATTTCTTTCGCGTCCTTTTTCAGTGCCTCACGAAGGTTTCTATTTGCTCCCTGGCTTCCAGTACTTCTACTCCCATTCTCACCCTCCATGATTGAGGAAATATAAGTATAACCCGAACAATAACAACAGAAATAGCCAAATAACTATTCTTCTAACAACAAACAATATCACGCGGTAACTAGATTTTCAACGAAACAAGTTCCAGTCTACGCCACGGGCCTTCTAGCGTGGAAGCGTTGAGGGGTCGTCTTATCTCAGGACCGGAATCAGTTTTCATTCTTCTTTTCAGTTATTATGGTAATATTCATGCGCGTCCCTTACTCCTAGCATGTTTGTTGATTTCGACTGGGTTTAATGTTTTATTAAAAGTAGAAAAGCTCATCAATGGAAAAACAATACGTTATGATTTTTAAGGCCACAAAATCATCTCGAATTACAAAAGTTGTAAAATATAAAATATTAATGCAAATGAGATATTTTCCAAAAATGCGAACCTCTTACTTACTAGAATAAACCCACGGCTTCGCATGATAGTCAATAGTGTTACAGGCAAACAGGATGCCGCGCGGCATCAGCTATTCGTTGATTGTTCAACAGCTGAATCGTAGTGCAAAATCTACATTGAGTTAGCAAATAGAGCCGACTATAATTTTCTCGGGATAAAAAAGTATAACTTGGCGAAGATCCATATCTCATGGCGATCGGGCAAACTTATTTGAAGGAAAAAAATTGAGAATCACGCGAGTGGGGTGGAAGGAAAGCCAAAAGCTCAAACGCTTGAGTAAACCAAGCCATTTGACATCCGTTCCAAAACAGGCAAGAACCTAAAAAGGCAACCAGATTTAAAATGACTATCTTCTCATGAAAAGCGTTATTGTGGCTTGTTTATCAGAGATGGCTATATGCTTGCTCGGATTTCTTAGTTCTTTTGAAGACCCTTATTTTCGTAGCATGATCGTGATTTTCAAATATTCTGTTTATTCGAGCAGATCGCGATATGGAAACTTTCTCCTTAAAACAAGTCAAAAAATTCGTAGACCGTTTTACTCAAGATTATTATAACAAATGAATAAGATATTTTGAGCATAATATAAAAATTAAAATTGTAATATACATAGTCATGCCATAAGTTCTGTCCCTCGTTTTCAAACAAGTGTAGACCTGTTAATACTTGTCCGATTGTTTACATTGTGGTGTCAGTTGATTAAGCGCTTTTCGGGTAATTACATATACCTCAGTTTGTATTGATCTCTCGAAGCATAACGATGGAGTGGGGCAAGGCAGAGAACCGTATTGCAGTGATAGCTTTACATAAGTGTAATCACAGTGCTAGTCAGATTTTTGAACTCTTACGCGGCCTTCAAATATCGCGTAAATTTGTGTCTAGGACCATTCAGCGGTACAATGAGACGTCCTCTGTTGATGACAGGCCAAGAAGCGGAAGACCTCGTCAAGTAAGGACTCCAGCAGCCATCAAAGCCGTAAAAGCCAGGATTCAAAGGAATCCACTCCGGAAGCAGAAGATCCTATCCAGGGAAATGAAGATTCCTGTCCGGACGATGTCGCGCATCATTAAACAAGACCTAGGGCTAGGGGCTTACCGGAGACGTACGGGCCAGCGACTTACGGCCACCTTGCGACACATCAGGGCGACAAGATCCAAGAAGCTCTTGGAGAGGTACGCAGCTGGGGGATTCCGAAAGATTTTGTTCACGGATGAGAAAATCTTCACCATAGAAGAAAAATTCAACCGACAAAATGACAAAGTGTATGCAAGGAGTTCACAGGAAGCTTCGGAGATCATTCCGAGAGTTGAGAGAGGCCACCACCCTGCGTCAGTCATGGTTTGGTGGGGGGTGTCCTACGAAGGGGTCACTCAGCTCCATTTCTGTAAACAGGGCGTGAAAACAAAAGCGGCAAACTATCAGAGCGACATACTGGATCCTATCGTCAAGCCTTTAAGTGGTACATTGTTTGCCAACCAACACTGGGTCTACCAGCAGGATTCCGCCCCCGCTCACAAGGCTAAGAGTACGCAGCGCTGGCTGGAAAGCAATGTGCCAGAGTTCATTGCTGCGGAAGATTGGCCCTCAGGGAGTCCGGACCTCAATCCTTTAGACTACAAGTTGTGGGACCTGCTAGAGCAGTTGGCCTGCTCCAAAGCCCACCGTAATATCGAGTCCCTGAAAGCGGATTTGATCCGATCAGCGGCAGCTATTCCTTTGGAAGCTGTGCGTGCAGTGATAGATGAGTGGCCCGCGAGATTGAAGCAGTGTGTGAAGGCCAAGGGGGGACATTTTGAATAAAACTGTTTGATTATGAATTCTAAAAATGTTGTCGAATAAATAATATCTTTCATATAAATATATCTTATCTTGTTTCATTTTTATCATGAGATTATCATGGGACAGAACTTATGGCACGACTACGTAGATGGGAATCAAAACGGTAGGCCCATATTTTCTCAATTTTTGTTTATTAACATACTTGTATTCTAATATCTCAAAGTTTGTCAAGATGATTGTGGGACATATTGATACCCCAATATAATGTGTATTATTTTGAATGTGTAAATCGAACACTCAGAGTTTAGAATACCACCCTGTTCTAGCCTGACGCCTCTAGACAGCTGTTCATTTCAGTTTTAGATAGTTACAGTGTAGAATCGTCGCCATCTAGCGGTCATGCGATGAGTGAGCCTCCAAAGCGCAGACTGAGATCCATACAGTCCCAACTGGTAGCTGCTTTTCACTATCCAGAATGGTTGATTCGAGTGGTAGATGGCGCTTCGCGCCGTCTTATTTCGATATATCTTACAATTTTGATAGTGTATAGTTGTCAGAGGCCCAAAAAAAAAAGCTGATAAGTGGCCAAAAAGCACGGAATAGCTGATTTAAGGAATAGCAGAAACATTGTGCTTCTCCTAAGCTGTGCTGTCATATCAATTCACCACAGTATTGAAGGATGGTTGGCTGCCAAAGCAATCCTTGCGAAATTTTCATTTTTATAAAGCAGGGTCATATTTGAAGTTACGGGTGCAAGAATAAACATAGATCATTCAGTGCTACAGAATTATTTGCGTTCAGCGGAGATCATAGAGAAAGTAGAATTTCCAACTACTGTGTATCTATCGAAGCTACAAAGTAATCGTAAACAGTGGTTGATTCGTGATCAACGCGTGATCGGTAGCCATGGCGCTCTGTCGGCCTCTTCCTGATTGGCTTGTAGCGACGAGCCTCCAGACAAAGTCGCACGGTTGCCACGCTCGGCGAGTTTTCGCCAGAGTGGTTGATCACATTCGCATGGATCACAAATCAATCTGTTGGTGCAATACGTGCAATAACTGTTGTAAAGGACATTATATAACAATAAATGGCATCACAAAGGTATATTCCAATTTGATCTGCAGCAAATTATGAACGGCATATACGGAGATGCGAAAACAAGCTCAAAAAGGTGAAGAAAATTTTTGTGCAATCTTTATAGTTAAATTTTTCCTAAGAGATAGCATCAGTGAGGGAATTTTTTTCTATTGTCTTATTTTTCACATTAATGCGATGTCGAGGTATGTGGCCCTATCGCAATTGAAAATAAGGTTTCGATAATCCTTCCATAAAGTTTCGATGAGTACATCTGAAATAACCTTGAGATATTCTTCAGGGAAATACAAAAATCCTATCCGCAATCTATTTTCCGTGCACACACCTTCAACCGAATGTATGCCATATATGATATTACCGTTTCCAACTTTCACTAAGGTTAATAGGAACCATAACAGCTCCCTACCCTTCCCCCCTATAAGAATATCGATTTGTAGCCTCACATTTCAAGGTTAGACTTCTTGTAATGTTTCTGTTCAACATTCGGCGATTTCTGACAATTTTCCCAATAAAACATGATCATTGTGACATTAAGCCTGGCAACGCTGCATAGTAGAGGGAACTCTCAGCGTCACGTTGATGGTTCGTCACCACGCACAGGATTGTAATCAGTTACGGATACCCGTTTATGAGCGCGAACGTTTTATGCACGTCTTGAGTTGATTTTTCTTGCGGAAATTTAATATTAGTCTAAAATGTCTGACACAGATACAGCTGATGAAGTGGTTGAAATCGGCTTAACGTCACCCAGAAAAAAGGGCTAAAAAGCTTCATCTTAGCGCAGGTTGGCCGCGTGGGTCAGAGTGTCGTGCTACTGATCAGCCGGCCGGCCGGGCCGCGAGTTCTAATCTCGCCTTCGCCATGGATGTTGTGTGTTTGTTTTAGGCAGCAGCGGTGGCCGCAGTAGTAGACTCTTCGGTCTCCTGATCAGCCGCCGTGCGCTGTGCGGGTTCGAGTCCCGTCCCAGGAGAAATGTTTCTCTTGGCCATGGATGTTGTGATTGTCCGTAGGTGGTAGATGGTCTCTGACTGTCGAACGCGGAGGTACCACCCGGCGGTTCTCGTAGGCGGAGCCAGAATGTGTGCATGTTGCATGCACACGTGTTCCCTCGCCAGAGTCCGTGTGGCGTCCCCCCTTTCCCATGTATCCCCCATAGCCCCACGGTACCCAATGGGTGCTTAGGCCTTAGGCCTTCGTGGTAGTTGGAGTATAAAAAAAAAAATGTGAAAAACAAATTATTCTAAATATCTACAAGAACCAGATGCAAGAGAATAGTGGATTGGCTATAGAAAATATCGTATGTAAGGTTGCTGAAATTTCTGGAGTAGGTCGATCAAGTGTTTACAAAATCTTGAAGGAATATAGACAAAATCACTCACTATCTGAGCCAAAAACATATCCAGCGAGAAAAAAAATCATCGAAAAAATAGATGACTTTGACAAAAGTGCCATTAGAAGAAAAGTACATCACTTTTTCTTTAGGAATGAAATACCTACAATAGATAAAATATTGAAGCAAGTGAATGATGATGAGGACCTGCCAAATTTTAAAAGATCTACGTTCCATAAGCTGTTGAAAGAACTAGACTTTCGATTTTTGAAAAGAGGAAGGAATAGTTTATTGATAGAAAAGGAGGAAATTGTTATCTGGAGGAGAGAATACCTTAGAAAAATTAGGCAATTCCGCGCTGAAGGAAGAAAAATTTATTATTTAGACGAAACATGGGTGAACGCGGGGCATACGCAGGGAAAGGTTTGGGTAGACAGATCTGTGAGGTCCTCAAGGCAGGCTTTTTTAGATGGCCTTTCGACGGGATTGAAAAATCCTGCAGGTAAGTTTCGAAGTATATGAACTTTTTTGGATGCAGATAATTCATTTTCTGATCGAATCAATGATTTGGAAGCTCCGAACTCAGTTTTGCTATCTCATCCAAGTTTCTGAGTATTTCCTTCACCCAAAAACTAATCTAAGACCCTATCCTACACTAACCTAAAAAGAGTAAGTTGCTTAATTTCGTCATTTAGTGCGCTGGCTGAGAAGTAAAATAACTAATTACTTTCAGGCAAGGGAAAACGCCTGATCATTTGCCACATAGGTAGCGTAGATGGATTTGTTCCTGAAGCATTGTGGGCATTTGAATCCAAAAAAACTTTAGACTATCACGAAGAAATGGATGTAGGTAACTCATTTGAAAATTGGTTCAAAAAAAATTTGCCGACACTTGATGATAACGCAATTATTGTGATGGATAATGCCCCGTACCACTCCAGAAAATTGGAAAAAATTCCAACAATGGCCACCAAAAAGGCAGACATTCAACAGTGGCTTGTCTCAAAGAAGATCGACTTCGACCAAACAATGGTCAAAGCTGAGCTGATAAATATAGTCAAGCGACATAAGTATAAATATGATTTAAAAATTGTTGACGAAATGGTCAAAAACCAAAATAAAACGATTCTCAGGCTGCCTCCCTATCACTGCGAACTGAATCCTATCGAGTTGATTTGGGCCGACATCAAGCAATACGTGGCGTCAAATAACAGCACTTTTAAGTTTTCTGATCTTAAAAAACTGTTTGATGTTGCTGTCGATAGAATTACTCCAGCAAAATGGAGAACATGTATTGACCATGTCCAAGAGAAGGTTGAAACCAAAATGTGGGATATGGACAATATCATTGACACCCAAGTTGAACCCCTTATAATTGACATCAACAATTCTGATGATTCAAGCTCCTCGGAATACAGCATATAAATCGATTGATACCATTAAGACTGGCAGTTTAACGGGCTTTTTGGCAAGACAGGTAAGTTCATTATAGACTGCAATCAAAGTGTAAGTTTCTAGTTATTAATGTGGAAATTCCAAATTTATAATTACACAAAATTAGGGTTAATTTAGGAGTTCCAAAGCATAATAGTGCCATTTTGACCTTCTTCCTATTTCTCATGTAAATTTTAATAGCAATCAAACTAACAAACTTTATGGAGTCTGTAATAAACTTTTGTACTACTACTACTACGTCTGTAGTTTCTATTTGCTCAAAAAAATTTGCTCTGCATTGTGAATAGAAGGTTGATTTGTAAATATTATTGGGTATATATGTAAGTTAATAATAAAATATGAACAATTTCAATTGAGATGGTCCACAAGTTTTTTTCGTGTGCGTAGTAACATTTTGCTGAAATGGTGAATACAGAATTTTTTGCACTGATTCCTAATGTCGAAATATGATTAGAAAGGCGTGGTATATTCCTGATAATTTACTATGCTTTTGATAGAATTTACAGCAACACATATCTTGTACGACATTTTTTGATAGATCAGTCACAATAGCTTGATACGGCGCTGTAGCGTCTCCTACGGTTAAGTTCTTGATCACGTGCAATACGGGTGTATATGTTTGATTTTACTTTGTTTCTTCGATGGATACAGTTTAGATAGTTAATAACGAGTAACGTGCAACGGCAGTATTATCACAAAATGTATTAGTTCGACTGGACTATAGAATTTTGTGGCTCGGAACCGCGACCGGGCTGCTCAACCCTGCTTGGTGAATTTAAACGACTTGACTAACAGATTCAGCGAAAGAGTTTTCTTGTACTCACGAATAGTGCACAGGTACTCAACCTGAATCCCCTAGGCCAACATATAACAGGATGCTAAAGGAGGTAACTACACAAACGCAAAGCAAGGAAATACAAACAAATGTCTCACACTTCGAGATATTACGGTATCACTAATATCGTTCGGTCGTCCTAAAGCAGCCTGGTAATGCCCTTTTTGTCTTGGTTATATCAAGGCAACAATGTCCAGTTTTGAACAGTCCTAGTCTGCATAGCTTATGTACGTAATGATTCCATTTTCAGACCGTTTCTGGTGATACACACGGATCCGAACACAGCGAAACGAGTCAGACGGAGAGCAATAGACTGTTCGGTGGACTCGGGCAATCAGTGCTGTAAACAACGATTTTATGTTAGCTTTAAGGCACTCGGATGGGACGACTGGGTGATAGCTCCTCAAGGGTAAGTCAATGCGTCTTTCTCGCATGTGCCTAATACGCTAAAAGAATGCAAATGAAGATGAAAAATCAGTTGGCTCAGCTTTTTTTAAAAGTATACTCTGATTTAAATGTTAACGCACCTCCACATCTTCATAAACCTATACCTATAGAATGAATACCCCACAATTCTAATATCCCTATAACGTCTTATCCTCAAGTCTTACAACTACATATTTATAAGCGATATTGTGGAAGAGTAGTATTCAGCGATTCAAGACCATGCGCCATTCGTATGGAAATAGGCAAGTGTGTCTCTTCACACCCTTGTAACCCTAAATACCCATAACCCTATAACTCCATAACGGTATACATCTATCAGTTCATATCCGCATTGAACTTGGGCGACATGTGTACCTATTACCGGTTATGCACCAGGGAACTTATTGACTAGGGGCTAGATACATAGCTTCCGAACTAGTACCTTTGGACCAACCAGGGGCTATGCAGTAAATATTCAATACTGGGAGCCTTGATTCAGGGGTTTCGAAGTAGGAGATACGGACTAGAGGCTAAGGATCAGGGAACTCGGGATTATATTCTTAGAGCTATAGAGGTTCCAGATTAGGGCTTGCCGTCAAGGGGCTATGGAGGGGGAGTTTTGAAGTGGGTATTATGTGGTGGTGTCATGGGGTGGGGTTGTATGAGTAGGGTTGTGGAGGCGAGACATCAATGTTGCATCCCTATTACAGGTACTATGCGAACTACTGTCGCGGGGATTGTGGCCACCATCGTACGCCCGATACGTACGTCACCTACCATACTCACGTACTGGAAGAGGCAAGAAAGACGCATCATTTGGCCGGCATGACGCCATGTTGTGCCCCATTGAAGTTCTCATCGATGAGCATCATCTACTACGGACCTGATTCCACAATCATCAAACGCGATCTGCCCAAAATGATCGTCGATGAATGCGGATGTCCATGAACAGGATGGGATACGTCCAGAATGAACACTGGGTATATAACCGCCATTCTTGATGCGAGGGCTCAACACGGATTGGGCAATGTTTGTACAAATATAGTCTGGGCGACAAGGGCAATTCACGAATTCATTCAGTACAAAAAATCAATTCAGTCAGTACCTACATAATCAAACGGCATAGTTTTGAAACCTAATCGTCTACGAAACCTAAAAGCTCAAGATTAAAAGCGCGGTGTTGCACGGAGGCTAATCGGCGTTGACCTTGCGCTGTTAGGCTGTTTGCTGTGAGTACGACGTTTGGATGATGAATACGATGATAATGCGGCTCGATATCACAGCCGCTGCATCAACACCACAACAGTACATTCCTAAGAAAAAATGATGTTTCTTTTCCTCTTTTTTACAATAGCAATCATTTGGGTCTAGAAACATCACATATAACATAGTTAGGTACTACTTGTGTGATACTCAGACAATTCACCTACTCATATTCATAGGTTGACCCCGTGAATCTTTCGTATAAAATATAAAGCATTAGTTTTGTTTAATAGCACTTTCTGGAGTAGACTATGACGTAAGTGGTTAACAGCCCAATATAAATTTTGGCACTCCCGTGGATGAGAGAGCTTAACATAATGCTATAAAAAACCAAATGGCTTAATAATTTAAAGGCATCATATATTTGGTATTGAAAACAAACGTCAGACTGTTATCAACCCTCTTCATTATATTGTAGTCCTTTCTGGCATTCTTACTATTATATGTATATGACGATCACTCTCCATGTTGCACTTGATTCAATCCATCGGACTGCAGTTTACTTAAAGCTTTTTGTTTTAACCTGGGTGTGAGAAACGAATTGAAAAAAGAGTGTTATTTCAGATGTTCAAAACTTTGATCGTGAAGGTACAGCTGATGTGCTTACAGCTTGGTTATCACCATAACACTGTATTTCAAAATAACTTTTATCTAGGATACTTTTCAAATTATGTTTGAAGCTCTGCCGAATATACGTTTCAGATCGTTGCGTACAATTCGATAGGCCCACACTCTAATAAAATATAGTGGAGCTACTCTTTGCCTTAAAATATCACCAGGTATTCACTTCACCTGTCATTCTTAAGAAAAAACGACCCATCGAGTCAATAAATATATTATAGATGATTGCGATTTTGAATGGTTGAAATCCAGTGATGGGCGCCTGGTATACACCACCATGTATAATACACCATTGTATACGCGTATACAATGGTGAATATATACATCTCGATATTCACGTATACACTGTATAAAATGTATATATATATATATATAAACAATAGCAAATCATAGTTCAACTGCAGATAGTGCTGGCGAAAGTCCCTTTACCTTTTAGATTTAGATGTGTACGAGGAAGAGAGAGGGGGACAAGCGGACACCACTTGTGTAGAAAGAGTGCGCCACACTCCACGTTGCCTGGCACAACAGTGATGAAGGGCACAGAACACAACTGTAACTTGCCACAACGCCTTGTTTTCTACGCTCAAATACACATTTCTGTCGAATCTGTTTAGGATCAATTCCAGATCGATCCTAATGGTTCTCCGATTTTAGGTGGAACTGAAAGTTCACGATAGATACAAATTCTGCAACATTGCATTATTGGTTTGACTGTGGAAGCAGTTTATAAATAATGAAAACATATATAATGTTTATTTATATACGTATACAAAGATACAGTTTCAAATAAATTAAGAACAACAAATGAACCCTAGTTGATCGATTTCTTTGTTCTTGGAGCGTCCAACCATATTTCTTTTTTCAAGTTGTTGTTTCACTGTTTCCCAACTTTCTGACGTTTGCGAATAAACCTAACCTCACTTATGCTATTCTATATATTGTCTTCATCATTGTATGTATACATTGTATTCATTGTATACGCAAAGTATACATTGTATTCATTGTATACGCATTGTATACATCGAGACGTAGACAATTAATGTATACGCGTAACCGCCCATCACTTTTGAAATCCTGGATGCTCTGAGAATTGTTGACAATCAATAAAAAAATATACTGCAATTCCGTAGATAGATATTTCACATGGAACATTTCGTATTTCTCCGCAGGTGCAGTAAATGACAAAAAAAAACTAAAATCGAGTTATGCCGTAATTTCACATATTTTTTTGCAGTCTGTTGATAAAGTTCTGAAAACAATTTTCAGGTACCGGCTTAAATAGATTTACGCCTCTGCGTTAGAACTGGTTTTCTGTATTTGGCCGATAATTATACAACACGTACCGGCGCATGTGTCTCTCTGTCGCGCATGTGTAAACATGACCTATAAATATTGTTGTGTTGTTCTGAATATCGACTTAAACAAAATGTTTATTTTTCTTAGCATTTACTTTTTGTTTGTACTTATAATATTAGGTAGAGAATTAAACAATTTTTCTTTTTGAAACAGTATTTTCGATACTTTGATACCCATGTACAGTTTTAAATTGTTGGCGTAACTACATAATAAAATAAGCAAAAGTCGTCACGAGGTGGCGAAAGTGTACAAAAAATATTTTTTTAAAAAACTCATTTTACATTTACCAAACTAAACCATCCCAAAACAAAGTTCTACTTAATTTTAGTCTAATAAAAAAAAGCAACATTATTTTAAATCTTATTTATTGCCGATTTTCGTTTTCGAGCTCTCTTGTAAAATTTGTAAAATGTTAGTTACGCCGGTACGGGCGGAGACCGACGATTTGTTAGGCAAATGATAAGTGACAAACAGGATTGCATTATTTCGTTTTATATTTTACATAAGAATTCGTCAATTGAGCCTTGTCGAAAAGACCACGTGAACGATTGGAGGTTAATTTCATATTGAAGCATTTGAACATGACATCTATCGCCGCACAAATAACGAAACTTCAAGCTACTGTTTAAAGTAAGATTATCTCTGAAATTCTGAGAATTAATTTTCTGAAAGTACTTAGTAGATCCTTTCAGTACAACAAGTTCAATGTAGTTTTACTGCGGGGAAATGACACAAGAGGTATTGTAATTTCTGGAACCTAATGACGTGGTGAGGAATAAAACAGTGAGTACGTTTTTCAAGATTTTGAACATTTGAATGAATGAATCTTGAATTTTAGAGGCATCCCGGCCACCATAAGGAGCCAGTGCATAGGCCGCTTAAGCGGGCCCTTATGCACCTCTACAATACTTAAATCACAAGCCTCGCCCTTTTAGCGAAGTTGAGAATCGCCTTGAGTCCAAGCTCCTTTACGTCCTGAGGGTCCAAAGTAATGGACCCCAGTATAGTCTGCCTATAGTAGCTAAGAGCTTCACAGCGACACAAAACGTGCGCCGAGGTCTCTTCCTCTACTCCGCAGCGTTCGCATAAGGGATCCTCAGCCACCCCCATCACGTGCAGGTGCCGCCTTAACGTGTTATGGCCAGACAACAGTCCCACCAGCAACCTTAGGTTGGCTCTACCCAGAGATAGGCAGAAGCGTCCATCCTTAGCACTGGGCCCTTCAATGAGCTCTCGTGCCTGGCGGAGATGTCTAGAGATACTTCTCCATTTCTGAGAGTGTTGTCTTGCAACCCACGTCTCCATTTTCCTCCTAGCTTTATGCGCGGTTACTCCTAGAGCTGGCTCAGGACCAACGAGCTTGCTGGCTGATCCTGTTTTCGCCAGAGTGTCCGCCGTCTCATTGCCCCTTATCCCAGCGTGCCCCGGTACCCATATTAACGATACCGGATGCCTCGCTGCGAGGCAATCCAGAGCCTCCCTGCATTGCAATACAAGACTCGAAGTAATCTTACATGCACTTAGTGCTTTCATTGCAGCCTGGCTGTCGGATAAGATTGTTATTCTTCTCCTAGGCCCACCCTCCTCCAGAATGTGAGATACACAAGCCAGAATCGCAAAGATTTCCGCCTGGAAAATGGTGGTGTACTCACCGAGAGGCAGAGATAGCCTAGTTCTAGGTCCAGAGACCCCAGCACCTGAGCCCTCTTCGGTGACCGAGCCGTCCGTGTACCAGACCTGCCCGCTCACTTCGGAGAGTCCTCGGCTACCGGCGTCCCACTCCTCCCTCGTTGGGTACTCCACAATGAACTTGCGGTTGAAGCGATATTTAGGGGTAATACGATCACCCCTGCTTAGAAGGACGGGGTCCTCCCTATCTAATTCGACTAATATGGCAGTATGCCCCTTGACCGGATTCAAGAAAGCCCAGCTGCCCTGACTCCACAGTCGATGAGCGACTACTCTCGCTTCACCGCGGATCACCAGATCCAACGGTGGGAGATCCAACAGAGCTTCCATTGCACTCAATGGCGTTGTTCGCACTGCGCTTGTAATGCTAATACAGGCCAAACGCTGAATTTTATTGAGTTTGGCCTTAGTTGACTCAGTTCTAATGCAAGGCCACCAGACCAGGGAGCCGTACAAGAGAGATGGACGTACTATCGTCGTGTAGAGCCAGTATACCACTTTGGGTTTAAGCCCCCACCTTACACCGACAACACGTCTACAAGCCCACATCGAATTGCGAGCCTTGCTAACCTTGTGTTCCACATGCTCTCTCCAGTTCAGTTTGCAGTCCAGGATAATTCCCAGATATTTCACTGACTGGGACAAAACTAATCTAGTCCCAAAGAAGGTAGGCATGACCAGTCCGTCAAGCCTTCTTCTCCTAGTGAATAGGATCAGCTCGGTCTTTTCAGCATTAACAGAAAGATCGACTTCCCTACACCACGATTCCACGGAGCGCAGAGCGCCCTGCATAATTTCCGAGACTGTTCTACAGAAACGCCCCCTAACCACTATGCTTACGTCATCAGCATAGGCTTGCACGTAGACACCCATACTGTTGAGCCTAACGAGCAGTTCGTTCACCACGATACACCACAGTAGGGGTGACAGAACTCCACCCTGAGGGCAGCCTCTAGCTACGTTCACGCTGCAGCTTACGTTATTCAGCATAGCTGTTGTTACCCGACCCTCCAGAGTAGAGAGGACCCAATCTATTAGGATTGATCCAACCCCGTGTCTAACCAAGGCCTGTCTGATAGAGTCGGTTGTGGTGCAATTAAATGCACCTTCAATATCTAAGAAGGCCACGAGTGCCACTTCTCGCTGATCTAGAGTCTTCTCCAGCCTCCCAACCAGATTGTGTAAGGCCAGATCAGTCGATTTTCCAGCTTGGTATGCAAACTGATTTGCATGAATGACACACCTTTCCAGTGGGCCATCCCTTAGGTATCTATCAACTATCCTTTCCAGGGTCTTAAGCACAAAAGATGAAAGAGTAATCGGTCGAAAATCCTTCGGGCCAGTATATCTATCTCTGCCCGGTTTAGGAATGAATACCACTTTAGCCTGCCGCCAACTTCTAGGTGTGAAGCCCGTGGCCACACATGCTCGAAACACATTCAACAGGTAAGGAACAACCGAAATCCGTCCCTGCTGTAACATGGCCGGAAATACGCCGTCCAGACCTGGACTTTTGTATGGGGCAAACGAATCTACTGCCCATACCGTCCTTTCGAAGGTGACAATCTCCCTTGCCGTGCGCCAGTCCTCCCTTGAGGGCCTGCGCAACTGCATGCACTCTGTGATTGATCGCGCTACTGTGGAACCGGGAAAGTGCGTATCCATCAGAAGCCTCAGAGTATCTTCCTCGGAAGTAGTGTTCCCTCCCGAGGGATCATGCAGAGATCCCAATCTTGCTTTAGTGTCTTTGCATAGGACTCTGTGTATTCTTGCAGTAGCAGGAATGTCATTTATGGACTGACAGAAGTGCCTCCAGGATTCTCTGGAGGCCCTTCTAATCTCCTTTTTGTACTCCTGCAATGCCTTTTTGTATTCTTCCCATAGAGGAGAACCTCTCCTGTGCTTAACTCTGCTAAGAAGTTTGTGCACCGCTCGTTTTCTATCCTCTAAATCTTTGGTCCAGAAGGTTGCCTTGCCCTTACCTTGTACTTTGCGTAACGGGCAGTTTTCCTCATATGCGGCCGTCAAGTCCCTGCTCAGAGACTCGACAGCTGCTTCTATGTCAGAGCCCCTGCCAAGCCTGTATGGGACCGCTCCAAGCTTACTGTCAATGTCTGCCCTAAAGGACCCCCATCTAGTATGCCTGGGATTCCGAGCATATTTATCCGGAATCTCTCCATCAGTCTTGAACAGTATATACCTGTGATCCGATAGAGAGGGTGTTAGAGACACTTTCCAGTCCCTGATGTCCTGAGCTAAGTTAAGCGTGCTCAGTGTTACGTCGATAACCTCTTCTCTTACACTATTGCTGAAAGTGGGCATGTTACCGACATTCAGAACCTCAAGGTTCGATGCCCCAAGAAACTCCATCAGGTCTTCGCCTCGTCTGTTGGTGTTCGAGCTGCCCCACGCAACGTGATGGGCATTACTGTCGCATCCAATCACAAGGTCGAGTCCAGAATCCCTACAGAATGCGACAAGGTCCCCCATTTCCTTAGACGGAGGAGGGTCTCTTGAATCGTAAGGAAGGTAAGCCGAACAGACAACCAAGTCCCTGTCA